GAAAAGAAAAAGAAAGAAAAGCAGGGAGGAGCTTTCTTAGAGGTCTCCAATCTTTCTCCATGAAAGCTCAAATGAGTCACAATAGATGCAAGCATTTAATAAACTACTAAGCATTCCAGAAAGTACCTTTTTTTTTCAGTTTTTCAAGACAAGGTTTCTATATGTATCCCTGGCTGTCCTGGAACTCACTCTGTAGACCTGGCTGGCCTCAAAACTCAGACATCTGCCAGCCTCTGCCTCCTGAGTGTGGGATTAAAGGTGTGTGCCACCACCTCCTGGCTATTTAAAGTGTTTTTAATTACCTCTTTTACTTATGTACCTTACAAAACTGACAACAGGCCATTGCTCATCTTTATTTACAATTTTAGACTGTGCTCTTTTATAGTTCGAGGGACTAGATAAGGCAAGGACTATATGAACGAGCTGAATGCTCAAGCCCCTTTTCTTTCTTTCTCTGGAGATGGGTTCTTACCACGCTGCCCATGCTCTTGAGCACCTGAGGTTATGGAACTGTATCACTGTGCTGACCACAGTTTCAGGCTTCTGACTAAACAGAGACAGTCTTAGGTCTTTTTCTTCGGCATGCACATGTGATAGCACTACCCAAGCTAAAGACTTTTGTTGACTCAAAGAATAATTTATGACAAAATTAAAATACTTTTAACTATAACCATTTTACTGTGAATGACATTTATATAATGAAAAGAAAAGGCTATAAGATATTTTATGATATTTGAAGTCACTTCTTAGAACATAAAGGAAAACATGAGTTTGGAGATGGCTGCCTCGAAGTTTTTCAGTCTCCTTAGCAGAAGGCAACCAGTCTATACAGAAACACAACTAAAGAAATTATTCAATGGTATACTTAAAATCTGTGCAGATTTTTCTACATAAGTTTTGTCTCAAAAGAAACAAGATCTCTATACAAATTTTAAACTCAGCTAATGATATGCAGGCTAAAGCACATAGTGTTGAAACATGCCAGTGTCTGCTGCTTACTATGCAGCAGTAAGACAAAGTGAGGGCAAGTTCACTGTACTCAGTTCCAGCTATTCCAGTTTTCCTGTGGGCTTTAAAACTTGTTAAATAACACATCTGGGGAAAGTAATGGTAGAGAAGAATGAATGACAAGGTCAACAAAAGGTATGGGAACTAAGGAATTACATTTTTTTAATACTTGATTTGAAAAAATTAAAAGTAAAGGTAATCTCATACAAATAGTTATATATGCACTTGAAAAAAAGTGACTGGCAAAGGAAAGAATGGTCCAATTCCCTAAATTAAAAGAGAAGTTGGGAGAGAGAAGAACAAAAGGAATTAGTTCAAGACATCAATCCTACAAATATCAAGATGAGATCAATATATAAAATGAGTAAGTCATTTGCAAAATCCTTAGAAATAAAAATCAAGAAATTGAGAAAAAGGTACAAAAAATTTTTAAATGTAGCTGAGCCTGATGGCATGTGTCTCAAGATTTCAAGTTCAGGTATTTTGAGTTATAGAGTGAGACTCTGTCTAAAAAAGAATAAAGAAATGAAAGACAAAAAATAACTATATTAGCCAAAACCCCAGAACTTCTCAGAATAAGGGAAGGGAAACTGAACACAAACTCACTCTCCAAAGAAAATCAGAGTCTACAATGGTTCTGCTAGGCTCGTGTTTATGAAGCATAACACCTACACTCACGGACTACCCTAAGAACTGTAAAAATGCCTTTTTAAGTCTTGTGGTCTAAACATACACTATTCTCCACACTCAACAAAACAGATAATCTGTCTACTTCCTATCTTCACAAGATGACAGGCCAGTAAGGGTGCATTTCCTTCCTTGCTAACCCTGCTATTCTATAAATGAACAGTAATGGAGTATATGTATGAGGCAGCTTTTATAATAATCAGTTATCAATCATAGAGAACCCAAAGTTGGATGATGTACTTTTACCAACAAATGCATTCTCCACACCCGGATAAGCAAACTAATTTCTAGGGTCGTTCAAATGGCCTTCTTTCTCTATGCCTATTGAAGTATCTCAGAGAATGAAAAGGGGGGTTGGGGGTGGAATTCATATTGTTAAAGACAGAGACTTAACTGAAATAAACAAGAAAAAGGTTTGGGAAGATAGCTCACTAGGTAAAAGACTTTAGTATGCAAGCATGTCAAATCCCCAGCACCCTTGTAAAAAATAACTGGGTGTAGCCTTGTACCTGAAATCTCAGCTCACTCTGAAGACCAAGCTGGCCTCAAACTCACAGAGATCCACCTGCCTCTGCCTCCTGAGTGCTGGGATTAAAGGCGTGCACCACTGCCACCCGGCCTATCCATCTTTTTGAAGATTATTTTTATTTGTGTATATATGTGTGCATGAGTGTATGTGCTCTATACATATAAGTACATGTGCCTGTGGTGGCCACAGAGTCTTGGATTCCCTAAAACTGGAGTTACAAGAGGTAGTGCACCACCTGGTGTGAGTGTTTTGAACCAAGCCTAGGTCCCTGCAAGAGCACTACATACTCTTTACTGCTGTAAGATCTGTAAGGACGCTTTACTAAGAAGGAGTGGGAAGCATGAGCTCCAGGGATGGCTTACAGGTAATGGTTTACAGGTTTACTGGCTGCTCCATTAGAGGACCCAGGATCAATACCCAATACTCATATGATGACTCAAAGCCCTCTGTAATTCCAGTCCCAGGGGATCTGATGCCTTCTTCTGGACTTTGTAGGCACTGCACACACATGGTACACATACATGCAGGCACCACACTCTTACACATAAAAAGAAAAAAATTATTTTAAAGAAGGCCTATTTATCTTTCCTTTGTTGCTTCTTTTGGTATTATATCCAAGAAACCACTGCCTATCCAAAGGCCACAATATTTACTCCTGCTTCTGTTATTCATGAAGTTAACTTTTGAATATGGCACAAGTTAGGGACCAAACTTCATTCTTTTGTCCTGGCACTATGTGTTGAAAAGACTACTCTTTCTCTAGTAAAATACCATGTTAGTAAAAAAAATATAAAAAAAAAATCAGGTGGTGGGCCAAGATGGCTCCGTGGGTATACATGCTTGCCAGGCAAGCCTGCCAATGGACCTGTGTTCAATTCCCAAAACCCATGGAAAGGCACAAGGAAAAAAATCAAGTCCACAAAAGTTGTTCTCTTACCACAAACCTGCACCATGGCTTGCCCACATGCTCCACTCCCATCACACACACTAATAATATAAGTAAACAGAACTCTGTAATCACCTGGCTACAAAAGTAATGGCAGCTCTGAGGGTACTTGGTCCCATACCATCAATCTATATAGTTTTCTTTATGCTTGTTCCACACCATCTTCATTTGTGTGGCTTTGTATAATGTTTTAAAATTGGAAAAAGTGAGTCATCCAACTTATAACTTGTTCCTTTAAGATTTCTGGCATGCGAATCCTGTGCACTTCCATGGAAATTTTAAGACAGTTTGCCACCCTGAACTATAATAGCAATTGCAATGGCTTTATAAGTCACTTGGGTACAACTTTAATAATATTAAACCCCCAACCCAAAATGATGGGACTCTTTTCAGGCATCTTGGTCCTCTTGATTTTGCTCTACACCATCATGTTTTCAATGTGTAGGTCTTGCATTTCTTTATTAAATTCATTCCTATGTCACAAGTGTCATTTAGAAGCTCAAACAGGTAAGTTTCTATAAATTGTTACATGCAACAGAAAATCATTATCACTGATGCCAAAAAACAACAAAGGTTGTGAAATCTGAGTATCAAGGGAGAAGGTATCAAAGGAAAGCTCAGAAGTCAATTCTCTGGATATAGTTAGTCTTTAGTTGAGCTGAGGGTGGGTAGGTGAGAAAGTGTACCTTTCCAAACACAAATATAAGCGAGGTGTGGTGGCACACAGCCATGATCTCAGCGCTTGGAAGGCTGAGGCAGGGCTGTGGCAACAAGAGCAACACCGCTTTAGATCTCTTACTGAACAAGGTGCATTTCTGATCCAACTATGACTTCCAAGGGCATCGGCACTTACATGTACATTCTGACACAGACACATACACATACACATAACTAGTAAATCTTTTTAAACTAAATTAAAAAGATTAATAATAAAGAAAACAAAATCACATGAATAATATGAATGTCCCAATTTCTTTTAATCTGTAATAAAAACAACACAGAAAATGGGGGGATGGGGATTTAGCTAGCAAGCACAAGGCCCTGGGTTCGATCCTCAGCT